AAACAAACGATATGGGGGTAGTCGGGTAGTGTTTAAATCATGCCCTAAAGAAAGTAACGCCGGCCGCCGCTGGTAGCCATTATTTAATTGTGACGTGACCAAGATCACGCCTAACTCGAGGTGCGTTGTGGCCGTTCCAGACGCGGCGTTGCTTCGAAAATAATGCTCCCGATGTTTCGCGGCTGTTCGATGTTCGCGCCGGAGAATTTTCTACGGCCTTCGATTGTCAAATATAAACACGATCCACTCGCCTATAGAGACAGTAAAGTGAAATTGACAGTGTGGTACGCGGAGCGATCTAATAAGGCAATAGACATTTGAATAATAGTTTTAGTTAAAGTGTTTTCTTGCATTTGAAGTGAAATAAAGTTAAGTTTGATTATTGTTCAGTGTAGTCAATTATTGGTAAACCCACGGGGAAAAACGTAACAATATGTTTCCTTTGAAAAATTTTCCCGTGTATGTTTTCCGGGCGTTATTTTTCCAGTACTCTTATTTTATTGATACATTTTCTGATCTGATCCTGTTCTATAGATTTTAGTATCCCTACCGTTAGTTAAGGGCCAATGTACAGAGTTGACCTGTGTCTAGCACACTCGGTAGGTTTATTATCACACACGTAACGTTTGAATTCTGAAGTTCAAATTTTGCCCGATTCCATGTAGCTCGGTGAATGTTCCAATCTGAATTGGCCCACTTTTGATATGTGGGAAGATTTAAAAAAGTCTCCAAGTCTCATCTTAGACCATAGAATCAAAGAAAAATATTATATTGTAAATGAAGTCAAATGTATCTTCTTTTATTTGAAGAATTGAAATCTTCCCAAGTAAGTAAAGGGGAGGTGCAGGAATTTGTTCAGGAAGAATTAGAAAAAGTATTGGGGCTGAAGTCGTAAAATTGGTAAGACTAGCCTATCCAGCCACTGGATTAGTGTCTATAGTTTCATCGACAGGGTTCGTTACACGTAGCAGTAGCAGTCGCTGAGGATGGCATATGTCATTAAAAACTAAATGAAGCCATATTTATGCCTCAGAAATCGAAGCTGCCAAAAATGCTCGTGCCAACAATGAAAAGTTCCAGTGAGGGCCATCAACAAAAAAGAAGTTGAAAGAACATATTGATTCATGGCAGATCTAGAGGAACTCTTGAGAAAATATTTGATAAATGGAACTGCACTCAGGGCAATAGGGCGGTTTAAATGCTATAATTGCGATGATTACCTATGCCCCTTCACCGTCGATACTGGAGCAATGAAGTCAGTAATGAGAGCCGACATTCTCAACATAATCAGTTTGAAGAAGTTATCAGCAGTACCCGTTATGGAAATAACCACTAGGGTTTAATGGAGAAAACCAAAGGTATTAGTGGCCAATATCGTCAACGAATTATTTTGGGACTAGACATCATGTTCCTTAATGGATACTTGGTGGATATAAGAAACAAATTGTTGGAAATGAGGAAATTCTGCTCGATGTGCCCTCTCAGACTTGAAGCAGCGACAAGGTGTTGGAAGATTCGAGAATCTCTCCCAACACACAGCACATCATTAATAGATTCGTTCAACGGTTCTGAAGCTGAAATTTCCGTGGCCAGATCTCGTAAATAGTGTTACCGGAGAAGAGCTTGTTTATACACGGATGCATCCCAACATCGAAAAATAGCAGTACTCTGTCAGGTACAAGAAGTCGTTATTAGCTATTTTAGTAAGTCCTTGGGAAAATCCGTGAGAATTTACTGCGCCACGAGAAAAGAGATACTCGCAGTGTTCAAAGCGGTGAATCGCTACCATTCTTTTTATAAAAATTCTTGATCAGACCACTCAGCACTTCGGTGGTTCTTTAATTTCAAAACCCCAGCAGAAGGACAAATAGCTAGGTGACTCGAAGAATTACAAACTTACGATTTTGAAATCCGACGTCTGATAGGAAAGAGTCGCGGAAACGCAGCCTCTCAAGAAGACCAAGCGCCACATCCGGATGTAAATTTTGTTAATATCACGATTACAAAGATACTCAGTTACCAGAAAAGGAACTTTTCACCAGACGTAACAAGGTAGCGGACATAGCCTCTATTATGGACAGCTGATAGGAAGATATGCTCTCCTACCTCCGGCTACTTTGGGTTCCCTCTGACCTGATAACCTGTAAGAGTCCTTTGTAGGCATACGAACAGGAGGATCCGGTCTTGAAAACTGTACGAGAATGGATTGATAAAGGAGTGATGCCGGAATGGCATCTCGAATGCACATGGGACTCCATGTTCATTCGAGATGACCCACTCACTCGGAAGTAGGAAAGGCCGGATGGAAGAACCCACAAATTCCAAATAATCCTCCCAAAGATGTGTATCCCGAATATACTCAAACAGCTTCATGACGGTCAAACTGGAGAGCATTTCGGAGTGAATAGAACTCTAGCGAGAGTGCGTGAAAGGTACTATTGGGTCAATTGTCGCCGAGACGTTGAGGAGTGGTGCAAGCGCTGTGACCTGTGCACCTCGAGAAAGGTTCCGAAGACAAGGCTGAAGAAAAAGTTGAAGAAGTACCTCAGTGGGTATCCTTCCAAGAGAATCGCCGTTGACATTCTGGGACTACTTCCTTGGACCACATCCGGTAACAAGTACCTAGTGGTTGTGATAGACTACTTTTCCAAATGGCCTGAAATAGAAGCCTTACCCAACCAAGAGTCTTAAACGTTGGCAGAAGCTTTGTTGCAGAACGTAATTGCCAGGTAGGGAATACGCCAAGAGTTACACTCGGACCAGGGCCGCACCTTCGAATTGGATTTATGAAAGAAAATTATAAATTTATTGGGAATGAAGAAGTCAAGAACTACCTCTCGATAATTGTCTCCGAAAACTGAAGAGGCTGGGATAAATTAGTATTTCTCTTTCTGTTGGCATACCGGTTACCCACCATCCATGTTGTTAACCGGTCCAGAACTGAAGCTTTCGATAGACTTAATGTGTGCCAGCCAATCCGAATCTCAGGAGTTACTCACATCTTTCAGATTATGTGAATGGCCCAAAGGAGAGACTGGAAATTGTCCACATATTTGCCAGATCCAAATTACAGCTTTTCAGCGACAAGATAGAGATAAAATTCGACAAAAAATTGATGCTGATAAGTTTCCAGGAGGGCTATGCAGTGTGGCTCTACCAACACCAACATCGGAAAGGTTTGTGTTCCAAATTGGTAATTAAAAAGATCAAACTATCTAGTGTACATGATCCAGTTGTCACCTAGAAACAAGTCTAAGTTGCCCACATAGAGCGACTGTGTCCTTACATGGGTCGTGATGTTCCTACTTGGAATGTTGTTCGGGGCGGACAACCTCAGGTAAATTATCCCTGGTCGCTGCTGGTCTTCGTCTTCGTCGTGCTCAATTCTACTTGTGCTTCTCGATCTTTCTAGATGCCTCGTCGCTTCGATAGACTTATAGCGACTTGTCTATCAGCTTCGAGAAACTTCGATTACCATATATAAACACTATACCCACAAGCATTTCGAGGAAGTCTAGTTGACAAGTGCGGTACGAAGTGATCTAATAAGGCGATACACATTTAAATATTAGTTTGAAGTTTCAGTCAAAATTTCCACTTTAATCTCAAAATTTTGAGGTTAAAGTCGTGATTTTCAAATTTCGATATTAAAGTCGTGATTTCGAGTTTCAAGTCGAAATTTCGAGTTCAAAGTCATAATTTCGAAGTTTCGAGATTGAAGTCGAAATTTCGTGATTAAAGTCGCAAGTTCGAGTTTTAAACTGCCACGAAACAAATAACGAAAATATATGTGGCTCTTTTGCGCTTCCTTATTATCCATTGTTTTTTCGTAACTTAGGTTTATTGAGAGCTTGCTCAGACCATTTTTGCATGCCTCGATCCCCCAAGCTAAATAAATAATTCACAGTTGAAGAGGGTAACTACTTTATAAAAGTTTGAAGTATCTTAAATTGATGCATGTTGATTAGATACAAAAAAAAAATAATGAACTTGTCCAAAGTACAAGTTTTTATTGCGCCAGAAGGGTTCAAAGTAGTTGATGCATGTTGCTAAGATACAAACAAATATGTTAGATGTCACAATCACCTTGCAACTCCCATCCTGACATAATATTTCGAAGTGATTTTCTCTGTACAAACCATAAAACACACATTTTTAGTGGATACATAAAATTCCATTGATCACTCTTGCAGACACCGAATTATGAGAATATATTTTCTATAAGATAAAGACTAATTCTTCAGTTGAATGTCTGGAAAACTACTCACCTTGTATTGGTAATCCGTGTTGGTGCAAAATTTGACTTTTATTTCTGCTTCTGATACTTCGTAGAATAACCATACATTTGTAAAGTACAGCTCAATTTAAAATTCACAAGTCACGAGAATAATTAGAGTACATTCAGAATACGTGAAAATGAATAAGCGTGAAGTTAACTCGAACTTTATGTCAACAGTCCACACGTTTTTCATATGCAACAGGATTGGTCTGCTGGCATAAATATCGATAAACGTTGGAGCGGCTAAAAATATTAGCCACAAGTTTTCAATAACATTCGAACACGATTTCTTGTATTCACGGGTCAGTTCTAGTAAAAATATTCGGCTACCCCAGGATTCGTATATAGAAGGGTTACGAAATGTCGAATTGTCTTTGGAGAACAATGGCTCTAAATTTGAACTGGTGCAGTAGTCGTATAATCTAGTTATTTTCTATTTGATACGTTTATATCACTGTAGATGTTTGATGAAGGTGGAGAAACTAGGTTAGAGACAAAAGCTGAGAGTAGCTGAGAAAAAAAAAAACATCAAAACTCAAATTTATTTTATAAAAAAATATGTTAGCGTGGTTAGAGTTTCCAAAACAGTTTGTTCTGCGTCCTTTGTCCGCTTCAACTTAAATACAATTTTCGTGCCTTTGGGATTTACTCCACAGTTTATAGAAATATATTTTCGTGTTCACTGATTGTCTTTTCTGTGACGAAAAATAATTGGCATTTATACCTGTCTTGGGTGAAGGATTATGCCTGAGGATCAGACTGGGTCTACTGCGTCTATCAAGGAAGCCAAGACCACAAAACGTGAAGAAGAAGATGATGGGTATTGAAAAAAAAAGAGGTTATATATTTTGTACATAGTGCATGTTGTGTTTACTGTTTAAATAAGTACAAGAAAATGCAGAATTCAAACGAGTGTCAGTTACAAATAAGGTTATTAACAAAACAAAATAAGTAAGTTGGAATAGCCTATTTTCGGACGTATGGTTTTAACATCAATATTTTCAGATATGCTGTTCCAGATGTGCCCCTTTCGGTACCCGAAACCATAGATTCCAAATCCCTCAATGACTTAGTGAACCAGTTATTGAGAGACAGTAATCCAGATTTTTTGAAACCCAAAGACTTTGATTTTTTAGTGACAAAAGAGCTTTTAAGGGTTCCTCTTGTAGAGCACTTGCAAGAGCGCAATATATCAACAGAAGTTATCGTTGAAGTAGAATATATTGAAAGGACTCCCGCTCCGGAACCTGAAGACTCACTTTTACATGACGATTGGGTATCCGGTGTAGCAACAGCTAATAAATGGTAAAGAATAGAAGGGTAAATTCAACTTGTCCTTTCCTTTCGTCTTTTGAAAGGTTGAATTCACTTGGGAAACGTCTTCCAGATTCCAGAAGTTATTAATAGAATTATCTGAGATGTGATCTATACTAAAGAAGTAATGTTATTGGGGAGGACTTTTATGGTTTACATCACCCATCAAAACATTCTCAAATATTGTAGTGATAGTGTGATGTCCTGTACAAATAATTTCATATCACTCCCAATAACTACAGGGAATTAAATTTGGGCTTTCATATATATTTGGATAATATAACAATTTCATCATATACATCACAGGTAACTTTAGGAAGATTTTTGCCTATATCCATGATAATAATTACACAATTTTTATAAATATCGTCTCGTGGATGAAATTTTTCATTCATTAGGATTCTTGAGATAATACCTCCAATCGAAATTTCTATATTAGGCCTGATTCGTGGAAAGTTTCTTCCATAAGGTTAAAATTGTTTATATGTTTCTATTTACTTTCAAAGATTGTCTTTGAAAGATTTTCACAAATTTTATCCCAAACAAAGAGATTGATTTCATAAGATACTCAATCAGATCTAGAAGATTTTTTCATTTCACTTAAACCCTGAATAGTTCTTGATTACCTTTAAATAGGCAATCCTAAGCGAACGCAAAAATTTGAAATAAAACATGATCCACGGCCGGAATCTAGAATAGTGCCCAATGTAAGTGTGGCAAGCAAAACCTCTGAATGAAAGAACTGCTTGTTAGCAGGCTTGGATTGAGGATTGATTGAAATACGAAAAGTAGAACAAACAAAATTTGTGTTTTAATTGTGGTAGGAAGATCATTACAAAATTTATCTGTTTTTTTATCAATATTTTCCGAAAGCAATCTTTTACATCAATGTATGTGAAGAGTGGAATGATGAGTTTTAGAATTACAATGCAAATGGGTCGAATTGGATTTGCAAAAACGTAACGCTCGAGAACTGCTGAGGCAATTTTTGCATAACTTGTTTTGTTTAACAAAGGTGAATCGTTCCTGCTTCCATTCATTCAAATACTGCGGGCATTTGTTAATGATATGATCAGTACTTCTGCAGAAGATACAAGAATTATTACTAGAACAGTTTTGTTTGTTGAGTATTACCTGTGGGAACACTTTTTACTGAACAGGTTGATTGCTTATTACTTGTTGAAGCGATTGTTTTGAAGTCGTGCATTGTTTTTTCAGGAAATCAAATAGCTGGTGTCACTTTCACCATGGTTCAGTTCAAAACTGGATATTGTAGTATCTAAACATTTGAAAAGCATTTGTGTGAAAGTAAAAGCCCACTGTGTTTTCTGTAATAAAGTGTTATGTGATGGTATTGGCCGATACTTGATGAAAATCCATAACTTATTCAAGTAACATTTTATTGTGAGATCTCCAGTGGAAATCTCAAAATAAAGTGTTACTTAAATAACTAAGAATTTTCATTGTGAAGAATTCATTTCATTTCAATGGGCAGTAGCCAATAATCTACGCATTGCAGGTTGCTACGCATAGGTTTTCACACCATTCATTTAAGATTGATTGTTTTGTCATGTGATCAGATTTCTGATAATAACAATTATAATGGTTAACTTGTCAAAGAGGCTCCTCAGAAAAAAAACATATTTTACCCCCGTAGAATTTCACAATGAAGCTCTGTTGTGATATATTTTTTGACTATCTTTCAGCACTATATAGACATGCATTAGATTTAAATTGTGGGCGTGGAATCCTATTGTTATACACTCAATATTCAGTATATAAAAACTTGATATTTTTTGGATAATAAAGTATATATGTCTATCTATCTATCTTTATTTTTTGAACATCAAAGAATAGTATTGATTGATTGATTAATGTTTTTCAGGATTATCACTGGATGTTATGATTATTCTGTTAATGTATGGACAACTCATGGCAAAATTGTAGCAACATCAAAAGATCACAAAAATGTGGTAAAAGCTGTGGCATGGATAGATAAAACTGAACCTTCCAAAGGTTTTGTTAGTGTTTCCCATGATTTGACTGGCATTATATGGGCTTTTGAACCAGGTATGTATTTTGTTTTTTTTAGAAATGTAAATATAAAATTCAAGATAATTGTCCAAGCTGGCTGTATTTTTTACTGACATTGATGACAAAATGAATTTCGTTTCAACTGATTGAATATTTTTTAAGCGTACAGCAGGTTTTGAAATATGGGTTTTTCCTTTAGCCATCTGTTATCTCCATACTTATATGGTTGTCAACGGAGAACACAACTTCTTGAAAACTAAAAAAGTCAATATTATAATTAAAATAATCCTTAGCTCCCACAAGTTTCAACTTCTGAGGGTTGTCGGTCGTAGGGGTGCGACAGCTGGTTAACGAAAAAACATATTTTAATATGATGACACCTGCACTGACATCTGTGGGATATAATCCAATGCCCTTCGTGGTATTAGCCAGGGGAAAAGTTGTTTTCTGATAGGTGTCAGTCCATTAACCTACAGTGCAGGTGAGTCGAGGCTAGCCTGAACAAATTGTTCTTTTAGTTAATTTACTTACAATCAGTCTTCAAGTTAGCCCATTGAATATATTTGAAGTAAATATGATTTGATCTCATTATTCTGATTCGGATATTTTCATTAAAATGTTTGTCAATTGCATAATCAAAAGCTGATTTGGCTTAACCTGTGAAACAATAAAAAATGTTTATGGCATTGAAACATTATATGCGATATTTTTCATTCTCAAAAATATTAACCAAATTATTGAATGAGAACCAGTTTTCAATGTTTATCATTTTCCGCTTAATTGTTACACTAAAATGACTTGAAACAAATTTCAATGAGTACAAATAATATTTGAAAATTTAACATTTCAGCTACTGGTAATGTCACTTCAAAAGCATTTCTCAGAGGCCATGAAAGAGGCATTGACAGCCTAGGTATCAGCCCTAATTCTTTGAGGATAGCTACAGGAGGTTGGGACACCCACCTCAAACTCTGGTCTTCCTCCTTAGAGGGTGATGAGGAGCCAGCGAATAAGAGGAGTAGGGGGGTTTATACTGGCATCACGAAAACACCTCTGCACACCCTCAGTGGACACAAAGAGAACATTTCTTCGGTGAATTGGGTAGACAATTATGTTATATGTACTGCCTCTATGGACCACACAATCAAATTCTGGGATGCAGAGGTAGGAACAATTCATCTTAAAATCAATTACTTCAGTTCAGTTAAAGTCGGTGAATAAAATGAAAACCCTATTGATGTTATGTCCTTGTGAAGAATCGATATTTCAATTTGATTTGTTAGTCAATATTTTCATTTAAAGTTATGGATTTTNAAATCTATAGCCGCTTCCCCCACCGATGAAAAGGTATATATTATATAACATTTTTTTCTTCTTATCATCTGAGCTTTGCAACCTAATATGTCTCAATGACGCTCTAGTAAATCCCCATTTTGCATCGTGGGCTCCCCTGCTACTAGTGATTGCTGAAACTGACCCACAAATGAGCAAATTTGTTCATTATACAGAGTGTTCCGTAACTACGCCGCCAAATTGATATTGAAGAGTTTTCTCATGAAATGAACAATGCTTTTCAAATAAAAATTTTCTTAAAGATCTCTCGATGAAAAAAACAGTGCATTGAATGTGACCACAATTATTAGAGTTCACATTTTTTTAACAATAGAGGTTTATAGTTCGAGGTACCATTCACTATGAAAAATCTACTGTGTCAGTGATATTTTTTATTTGAAATCACTATGAATCTTCATCAAGTACTCGCTGAATCTATCAGAAAAAAAAAGAATAACTTTCCATTAGAAAAGCATGCAAAGCTATACTTTCTTTGAGCTTGCTGACATGTACTTTGTATGTTATGTGCCAAGGAATGGAATTTCAAGCACTTCTTTAAGGAGGTTTTTCAAAATTATACTTTGACAGGCGATAATCTGATAGACACATATTTGGATCTATTCATTAAAGACTAATGGAATATGAATCTCTGGTGATTAACATGAGATCAACAGGAGTACGACATACAGCTAGTATTTTGAGATTGAAACTTCTCAAGAATATATACGTACAATACATATATTAATGAAAAAACCACATATTTATCCATTTCATTTTGTTCAAGTTCAAAAAAAAAACTTTTACAAGAAATAGTATTTTTATTTTGAGGAATTAACATATTTATACAGAAGTGAATCCACATCAAACAACAAAACACCATTTTCAATATTTTTTTGAAATTAATTTTGGGCCAACATTACGGCAAATACATTTTTGGAATATTACGAGCTCGGTAAATAATTTGGTTGAACTTGGCAGAACCAATTTATGGTTCATACATGACAGTGTCAAATCCAACTACACGCTCAAAGAGCATGGTTGAATTACCACTAGAACCATAGGTGGATTGGTCAAGAAAGGGATGATGCACCTCAACATCAACCACTACTTAGTCCTGATTAAAATCCGCTGGATTTTAATGATTGGAGAGAATTGAAACATAATTTTATGCAATCTCTCTTATGACTATAAAAGAATTGAGAAGAAGCGTGCAAGAAGTTTCTTTTAATATACAGCAAAATAAGTAGAGGCAATGACAGTCTCCTCTCAAGTAGAGCCCATCTATGGTATCAAAAGAGAACTCAATCCACGAGTATCAAATATAAAGGGGTCTCTCTAATATGGATATACGAAGATAACATGCTGAGTGCCTATTCATTAACTCATTTTAACTAAAAAACCAAGTTACCTTAATCGTACTTCAACATTCCGTATATAAATATAATGTATAAAGGTACTTCAACACCTCTCTAATTCAAAACGGAATATTTTGGGCATTCATTTTATTTTCATTTGAAATATATTATTCCCTTTCTCGAAGAATCTTTCGGGACAATTTTTCTTGAAAAGTTTAGGTTATTTATCAAAAGGAATCACAAGTTCAATTTGGCAAAACCCTATTAATTTCTCCGAGGTCAATGAAAAAATAAACATTTTTGACCATAATTCTGTGGATAAATTTAACAATCATTGGAATCAATCACAGTTGGCGTTTATCCTCTGGATTAAAAGATGGAGATCAATTCATAAGAAATATTCATAGTTATAAAAAGTATTATAAATTTTGATACTATATATAAAAGTCAATAATTTTACGAAAATTACTACGAATAATTTTCATTTACAGCTTTGTGGCATCAAAAACGAAATTGTCGGCCAAAAAGCGTTCCTCAGCTCTTCCTGGTCACCACTTTCTAATTGCCTACTTGCCACCTCTGCAGATCGACATATACGTCTTTATGATCCAAGATCCTCGGAGGGCAATTTATGCAAAACAACCTTCACATCTCACAAATTGTGGGTCAGCTCTGTCACATGGTCGGATTATGATGAACACTTATTTTTATCAGGAGGGTATGATTCTTCTGTGAAACTTTGGGATACTAGAAGTTCCAGAGCACCACTTTATAATCTAGAAGGACATCAAGGACAAGTACTAGGAGTGGACTGGTCAAATAAAAAATATTTAATTTCAGGTGGTAGTGATAATGTTGTTCATATTTTCAAGAATAAACATATTTAATAAAGACATAGCCAAACTAATACTAAATTTTATTCTTAACTTCATCTAAGATCTTCCAACGGATAAGTGACTTTCATTTCTGTTTTTACCTCCAGCTTGAAAATGATGAGTTTCTGAAACAAATTTTACCATTTTCCATATTTTCATAAATCAACGAAACATTCTATGAATAAGAGGTTTTGAATTTATAATACTAATAATAAGTATTTTTTGTGTCATCAAATACAAAATTACACACTCTCAATCAATACCAAGAAGAGTGAGATGGTCCTTTTCACCAGGAAAATAAGTTTATTGGGCTTAAAACCTCCCGAAATCTTCAAAAGCAAACTAAACTTCTCTTAAGAGGTGAAATACTTTGGTACTATCCTCGACAGGAAACTAACATAGAACTCTCACCTACAGAGTAGAGCAAAGAGAGCATATGTGGCTTATGAGCAATGGACAGTGGGGCGCGCATGGGGTCTTTCATCCCTTGTGGTCACCTGGATCTACACTGCAATAATAAGATCTATGTTAACGTACGGATCCATTGCATGGGGACCGAAAGTTCTACAAGCACCGGCCATCCAAAAATTATATCAAATACAACGATTGGCTTGTTTAAACATCACAGGAGCCATGAGAACAACACCAACCGCTGCAATGGAATTAATTATGGGTCTGACCCCTCTGGACCTGTACGTTAAAGAGGTTGCGTTAATGGTCATGGTACGATTGCGCACTGCTGGTGTAAACCTCGATGTGTAAACAGGAAGATGAGACTGTCAGGCATATCCTACGTGAGTGCCCGGAGTTATCGCCAATAAGAGAGTGTGTGTTCGGCGAGTCTTGGCCTACACCTGCCGAGATGTCTCCCAGTGACCTATCCACCTTCCTGGAAAAGACAGGTTGGACGATGACCTAGGTGGACAACTCCTCAGGAGGATGTACAATGGGTCACATGTGGCCTAAGTGCTGTGGGGTTACACCCATCCTCCCTACTCTACAAATACAGGCAGAAGAAAAGGATGTCTCAAAAAATGAACACGATGGACAAGAATAGAAAATCTATCATTTATGTTCCTCAGTGATCTGCTGTGAATGTCCTCCCTTCGAATAATTTTTGAGGCATGGTACTTGGGCAGTCCAGTGGCCAAGATCTTGTTCACAAGACGAGTGTAGTAAACAAAACGTGTTTCATCCAATGTCAAAAGTTGCAATTCCCTAATATGGGGGTGATATGTGCTAGAGGGGAAACTGCTTATATAAAATGAATGCATTGATTTTGCATTTTTTTGCAATCTTGCACGCTCTTCATCTCATAAACAAGGTCCATACACTATGTCGGCATAGTTAGTATGCAAGAGGACAAGATAATTTCAAAACATAGTGGTAGTATCCAGATCCCGTTAGAAGGGGAATAGTTTTCAAAGGATTAGGCAGGCTGTCTTTGGGACGACACCTGATTGTTGGAGAATTTAGTAGAGGGAGGAAGTAGTCGTTGGCAAACATGCAGATTACAGTCTTCCATTAACTGTTGCAAGTCAGATGTAAAAAAAATGGGAGCGAGTTTCGAAGCCTGAGGTATGCTATTATTGGTAATTCGGGTGTCTGAAGTGGGTACTGTTAGATGGTCATTTACACTGACAAATTGCGATCAGTTGAAGAGATAGGCTTTGAGCCAGTCTAAAATTCAACCATTAAACCCATAGTAATGGAGTTTGGCGATTAGGCAGTCATAGGTTGACAGTATCAAAGGCCCTCAACATATTCGACAGGGTGAGAGATACTACTTGTTGGTTATCTAGGGCCTTGAGGAAAACAGGCGATTTCCACAATATTACAGGATTAAAGTTGTTTTCACATGGTGGAGGTTTAGCATATAACAGAAGTAGGACTTCTTTTCAAATTGGAGGGACACATTGAACGTATTACACAGAGAACAGTAATAATGCCTGTGAACTTTGAGTTTATTACTTTTGAATTTTTTGAAGGCATTAATTTTCAATTTCCTCGATATTCGAAAAGTATCAGTGTGTACATGTACATTGTTCATCTTGATAGCCATTATGTGTATGTGTATTTGTTTTTAGTGTTTTGGAAATTTGGTCGAATATAATTATTTCTCGAGTTAACTGAACACTAGTGTTTCAGAATCAAGTTCAACTCACATTGACTGGTGGGCAAAAGATTTTGATGCAGTGACGTCAGTGACAATTCATTTACCACATGAAAATCTAAATGAAGTTGAAATGGAGACTATATTTTTGGTACAAATGAAAAAAAATCATGCAGGGCTTATTTTCTTACCCTGCAAAAGATGCTGTAGAGGTAGCAGCTTGCGCCAAGTTTCCGAAACCAACTGTATTTTGACTCGCTATATTTCCAAAACCAGGACTACCAGTAGCAACAGATCCGAAAGCAGCTGAAATGATAATTGAATTTAAACATCATCAAAAGACTGATTGCGTCATTAGAATATATATTGTACGGCACCGAAAACAAAACAGATAAAATATCTTCCAGACACATCTCCGATCTCCTCCTTAGAGTTTGAATAAAGAAATTATCATCAAGACACATCATTAAAAAGGTAATTTCATAAGGAATTCATCCATGTGACTATTCACTTTGTAACTTTTCTTTTTGTGCGCCCTATAGATATTCATCAAGTAAGGGCCGAATCAATCAGAAAAAAAAAAGGAAAAAACTGTTCCATATTTTAAATTATAATACTTTATTCGAAAGATAATTTGAACGATTCAAAAAAATTGATAAAATGTCCATTTTATGATATAAAAAAAAATGGAAAGCCTTGCATAATTCAAACTACATTCATTCACAGTAGATGCTTGAATGTTCTCTATCAACTGCCATACATGACTGTAAGTCAGTCTGGGAACGTCTGTCAATTTGGTGCATTTCTGAAGTTATTTGATGAAACTGTTTTTCCCATAAGAGGACATCAAAATTAAAAGTTACGTAGTGAACAGTGGCATGAATGGTACCTTATGAAATTACCTTTTGAATGATGTGTCACATCTATTTAAATTCTAAGGGTAATGGTCACCAAGGGGCGGTGGAAGAGGTATGACAGTTGAGGTTATGATAGAAAGATGTTCTCCTTGAACGTGTTATTGCATACTGTATATTCAATATCTAACATTATGAAGTAATATAAAGTTTTCTTAAAATTATTGCTGAAAATAACAGAAATTTTATTTCCTTCAAAGACAATTTTAGCATAGGATGTGTCACATCCATTACGTAAGTTTCAGTGAAGTACAGTTCAAAATATGATTCGTTTCAAAAAACAGATAGTTCCATAATATAATTAGAAAAAAAGAATTATTAATCAGTTTTTTTAATGGTTATTGAAACTTGCTGATTTGGAGTTTTGAACAATTCTTTTTTTCTCCTAAAAACATTCATCAAATGATGTGGAACTTCCTGAGAAACATAGTCACAGCCTAGATTCAACATAAACATAATAGAGATTTATCTGGTGTTTACAGTGTGAACAATCCATGAGTAAGTTTTGTAAATAAGTGTCCTTGATGATTTTAAGACTTGAGGTGTTGAATATGTGGAGAGTTTGTTTTCAGTGGATTCAAACAATAATTGTTATTTATGAAACAGTTATTCAACTCCAACCGAGCATTTGTTTTCTGAAAACTCCACTCATGCAATGTTGAAACCTTGGGTTTAGTTTGAGACAAATCTTAGCGGAATTTTATAACACACTTTTATTTGTGTAGAGTTTTTTAACGAATAACAACCATTTCAATTTTTTAAGTTTCCTATTTTTTACATTATTGATGGAGAAATGGAAATTTGAACAAGATCTTTCACAAGATTCTTTGTTGCATTAAAAAATGGTTCTCAATATTATATAATAAAAAATTCGAAGATTTGGCAATCATATAATATATTACCATTATCTATGTCGATAAAAAAATGTTTTTCAAATATGAAATTATGATTCCATATAAAAGATATGTTACCTTCACACCTCGGCAAATTGAACACTATCATAATCAGAACTGGAAAGTTTGCTTAAAATACACAATAAGAAATTGAAAAGAATATTCTATTGTAATGAATCTGAAGCCGGCCCTGACATTTATCTCAGACACCAAACATATGACCCACTGAGAAAGGAATGCAATCGACGAATCGCCACGAAAAGAATAGATGAGTACTGCTTGAGGTACCTAGAACGTTTGTTACCAATATAAAAGGTCGGGTCGTCGCTCAGAGAGGGAGTCTGTATCTAGAAAGTGAATCGTGCGTTTAAAGAAAGAATTCTAACCGTGAAGATAAATTAAGCGTTAGTTGCTAAGTGTTGTATATAAGTTAGTTGCGATAGTGAAATATTGTTAAAAATGAATTTGTTTAAGACAGTTAATTCTTTGATTCGTTACACTATCAATACTGAATACCTTCCTTGAATCTTTTCAATCAGAACTTGATAGCTTGCTTAGAATATATAATGCCTACAATTCTAAAGCGTAAAAAATTATTCTTTCTGTATTGGACTGGTTACCCTTAAAATCAAGATTGTACTACTTATCACTGATTTTCATTTTCAAAATACTGAAAGATCTGTCTTACTACTTTATTCAGTTCATTACAATATGTAATCAACTACTTGATCATCACACTCGTGGAAATACTAATCTTCATGTACTAACTACAGGAAAACTGAAATCCGTGTTCATAATGGTCTAGTGCTAGTGCAATATAATGAACTACCTGCAAATGTTAACATTCAATTTTACATCAATTCAAATCAAACCTCATGAAGTTCATGAAAAGCGGATTATTGTTATATATTTGTTCTATTTTTTTATTGTATTTATATTAACTACTCTAAATGTAAATCCCATTAATCATATTGTTATGTTTATCACTTTTAGTATTTGATACATAAATAATGATTTATCATCATTATTACAGTTTGTAAATTAGTATTCCTAAATTAATTGTATTGCAGAAAATTATTTTTACTTTGCTATCAAAACTGAATATCTTCCTTGAAGAATTCAACTGTCCTTAAACAACACGCCTGGAAAAACAAGAGTGACGACATCTCCCCTTAGAAAGTCGTCATCTTTGGGATCGATTTCTTGCTTTTGCTTATACACTTATTGTAGGTACATAGGAATCAGTTTTCTTCATCTCCTAAAGACGCCAACTCGGGCTCTGAATCGCGCGCCAAGAAGTGTATTCCAATTCTGGTATTTAGGAACAGTACTTGTTTTTGAATTTATTCTACAGGAGGTTCCAGTTTTACCATTTATTAAGAAAGCTGACAAACATGTATGGGAATACTAGGTAAAGTAATAAATTAAAACAATTTGAAATATATAGGACTATGTTTACAGTAAATAAAATTATAGAACAAACTCATTGTGAAAGAACATTTCCACAACTATGTAGAAGAAAAAATACACATGGAATGAGAAATGCACATTAAAATGTATCACCACTGAACTGGGATAAAGTGTAGGTTTTTTCACTCAGTAGGTTTGGTTTTAAAAACGGTTGTAGCTTTTTCTCTTTGATTTCATTTGATAATTTATTGTTGTAAATCATCTTCTGAAAAAAAATCTGGCCGCCGCTGGTCGTCGTAAATTGATTGTAACTTGGCCAATATCGCGCTCAATTCAACTTGCGCTTCGCGATTGTTCTAGATGTCGCATCGCTTCGAGAAGATTCCAGCGACTTCCCTATAGGCTTCGAGAGGATTCCAGCGACTTCCCTATAGGCTTTGAGAGACTTCTATTACCATATATGAAAACTACCAACACGCAGATCGAAGAAAGTAGTTGAAAGTGCGGTATACATTTGAAGTTTCAATTAAAGTAAACAATGTAGCAGCAAAATAAAGTCAAGAATAATTGTACACTGTAGTCAATTATTGTCAAACTCGAAGGAAAAACGTAATATTTGGCGTTGGAAGTGGAATAATTGACTGAAAATTTTCTGTTTATGGAGAAAACAAGGAGTGCCGATTACGACGGGATGGAAAAGCTTAAAAAAATGTTCGAGGCTTAGCAAGCGAGCCTGGCTGATAATGAAAATCGCAGAAGAGAAGAAGATAAACGCAGAAGAGAAGATGAATGAAGGAGAGAGGAAGAACGATGAAGATCGTGAATTACTACTAAAAATTCAGGAAAACAGGAAAAGGGCGGAGACTTGCTGGTAACTATTCAGGAAAAACACAAAAGAAAAAGCGAGGAAGATCGTAAATTACTGGTAAATATTCAGAAGAAACAAGAAAAACATCAGATGTACTTTCACTTATTTGAAGATTTAAAAACTTCTTAAGTGAGTAAAGGGGAGGTACAGGAGTTTCAGAAAACAAAGGAGGGGTTGGAAAAAGTAACTGATGAGAAGCTTGAGGGGGTTGAAAGGAAATATGAAGAGAATCTTGAAGGAGTCGGAAGGAAATTTGAGTCGTATTATTTATACATATTTGATAAAAACCTATTATAATTTGGCAAAGTATAGAGATGCCCATAATGATGTTCTTTGATTTAGATCAGTTTTACTGTATATAGACCCATGATTAGATAAGTGGTACAGTAATACTGATCAGGAGATTGTGGTAGAAGAGTATTTTGATATTCATATAAAATATATTTACATCAGAAATGGGTGCTTTATAAAGACATAGCACCTACAATTTTTAAAGAATATAACAGATAATTAAAATTGTCTCTCTTAAAGAATATTAGAGTATTCTTTAATTTTACACATCAGAAAATATAATGAAGAATTGCCTTTCCATAATGTGCTGTGGTTCTCCTGCAGAATTTTGATACAATTTAATATCCTGAAGAAGCTCATTTGGTTTGATGTATTTCCTGATGTATTGTTCATAATTCAACCGCGTGTCTTTCTCCTGGGTTGGTTTGGTGCTTCAGACGGTAAGGATCCAAGATCTTACCCATTAATTTCAACTTCTATAGTGCTCTGATTTGGCCAAAGAAAAACCATATCAATACTATTCAGATATAATGATTTCTGATAAGTTTGTATTGATCAGCTCCTTGTCACCAGCATTTGGTTTCACTATAGATTTTACTGTGTATTTATTCCCCAGTAGTTTCTATAGATATATCCTGAGGATTTTGCATCGAGAATTACTAATGTTTACGATCTTTTTTTTCCTCCATTCGATAATTTGTAATTTATTTGTTTCGGTAAGTCTTGTCTTTGTTACTCAGGAAATATGATTCTTTTTTAAATGTCCCAACTTCTTTATACACATTATTTTCCTGTTCCAGTTTGCTAATAGATGGCAACATATACTATTGTAAAACGTTTAACTGTACTATATCTTTTTTCAGTTTAATAGCCTTATCTTCATAGTTTACTTCATCAGTAGTGTGGATAGATCAATATTTCTTTTTTCATTTTCTATAGCAGTTGTTTCTGAGATCTTTTTAATTATACTTTTTTGTTATATCATATTCCTGTTGGTTTTTAATTAGTTCATGACTACCCTGAATGCACCACTCATCATATGCATATCTAACATTTTTTTATTCTACAAAAGTATAAGTTTACATGAAATCCACTTGATGATTCCTGAATCTATTTTCTTCATAAGTTTGTATTATTTGTAATAAATAAAGATAACATTGCATAAAAATTTGAAAAATTGGTCAATTATATTTTTCATTAAAATCTCAGTAAAGTATGAAATTGTTAGCATAACAGAAAGTATAAATACCTGTTGGGGTATTAGATCCAAACACCTTGGTTGGACTTCCAAAAGATGGTGCTGCTCCAAAGGCAGGTGCTCCTCCAAAACTAGGACTAGCTCCAAAAGCCGGTTGTGGGGATCCTCCGAACGCAGGTGCTCCGCTGAACCCTGAAGGTTTTTGGAAACTAGCAGGTGTTCCAAACCCACTTTGACCAACTCCTGTTCCTCCCGTACTGAAAGGTCCAGCCTGAGAGCTACCAAAAGAACCACCGAAGGTATTTTGACCAAAAGTTGGTTGCTGACCAAAAGATGAAGATGAACCGAAGGTTGAAGTACCAAAACCAGTTTGTGTGTTATTCGAATTTGTTCCAAATATTGAACTGGAAGTAGATGGTGCGTTACCAAATATACTAGTTTGGCTCCCGAAAGGATTTGCTGCTACCGTTTCTCGTTGTGCAAAACTGTTTCCACCTCCAAAAATGCTGCTGCTTGTTGTAGCAGTATTACCCACACTTAAATTTCCAAAACCAAATGAACCTGAGCCAGCTGTAGCATTACTAGAGGTTTGTGCAAAACTAAATGTCGACGAGCTTGGTGCTGATCCAAAAAGATTGGAGGAAGAGCTAACAGATCCAAAAATATTGGAAGAAGAGCTAACAGATCCGAAATTTGTTCCAGCGGAACCAAAAACACTGTTCGATGTCGTAGGCGTTCCAAAAGCTGGTGCTGGTGTGGAGCTAAATGGTATTTGGCCAAATTCTCCTGCTGTAGTAATAGCAGGGGTTGAACCAAAAATGCTGGTTTTTCCAAAATTATTGCCAAAAGTGCTAGATGTAGTCTTTGGAGTAGCAAAAATGGAGCCAGATTGAGCAAATGGGGAGCTAAGTGAAGACTGTGTTGAAGCTGTATTACCAAATATTTGCGATCCGGTTGTGACTGATGCAAAAACCGAAGGCTGAGACGCTGATGCAGGACCAAAAACGGAAGATTGACTAACAGGAGTACTGACTGATCCAAAAATCGAAGATTGGGTACTAGGAGTAGTAACAGATCCAAAAACTGAAGGTTGGGAACTTGAAGTATTTACTGATCCAAAAATTGATGGTGAAGTGTTTGTGGTACTTATTGAGCCAAAAACCGATGGTTGTGTACCAGCAGTATTTACTGTACCGAAAACTGATGGTTTGGTACTTGCTGTACTTACTGATCCAAAAATGGATGATTGAGTATTAGCTACAGTTACCGAACCAAAAATAGATGATTGAGTACTAGCTGTACTTACTGATCCAAAAATGGATGATTGAGTACTAGCTGTACTTACTGAGCCAAAAATTGATGGTTGAGTACTAGCAGCACTTACTGATCCAAAAATGGATGGTTGAGTAGTAGTAGCAGCACTTGTACCGAATACTGATGACTGAGTACTAGTAGTAGTTATTGTACCAAATATTGATGGTTGAGAACTAGCACTACTTACCGATCCAAAAACTGATGGTTGGGTGCTAGCTGTAGTTAATGTACCGAAGACTGACGGTTGCGTATTAACAGTAGTTCCTGAACTGAATATTGATCCATCACCAAATATTGAACCTTGCTGGCTGGTGGTTACAAGAACACCTCCAGAAACTGTCGTTACTGGTGGTACCTCTAACTTTTGTGACTGAACAGATGCTTCTGTAGATGTGGGTGTACTTTTCCCAATTATAAATATTGGCGTTGACATACTTGATTTTGCTGTATCACTATTCGTAATTGCAATTCCAAAACTGGAAGATGAAGTAGTTGCAGCTAAAGTACTACTACTTCCAAATATAGATGTATTGGGTACAGCAGGAATAGTAGAAACATTGAGTACCTTTATAGGTGTCGTGTTTGTATTAGAACCGAATACTGAGGTGGCAGCCTCAGAACTGGTAGTCGTTGGAGTAATACCCAATCCAAAAATAGAACTTGTAGAAGTTGAAGTAACATCTTTTACAGAAGGATTTGCACTACCAAAAATACCTTGATTACTGGTAGAGCTAGTGCCCAGAGTAGGAGTAAAATCTTTAGGTGTGACAATATTATCAAAAATAGATTTAGAAGCAGAAACCTTCGTATCAGATGATGCCGTTGGTGCAGTACTGGATAAAGATGAAGTAGAAACTGCCCTTGAGCCAAATAATACACTTCCGGTTTCAGATTTTCCCGGCAAAACCGATGTAGTTTCCGTTGGGGTGAAATGAGAGGAAGAAATAATAGTTGTTGATGATTGGCCAAAAATCGGAGTTGAGCTCGTAGTTGGGACAGGATTAACAGTTGTAATAGAACTTGAAGTAACTAACTTATTTACGGATGGAATAGAACCAAATATAGTTGATTTTATGACAGACGGGGTAGAATTTGAGATAGAAACACTACCATTATCACTTTTTGCAATGCTCTCAGTAGAAGAGACCACCGTACTATCCACCGATCCAAATGAAAAAGTACTTGTGGGTGCATTTTTCGTTTGAGTAATAGTTCCAAATGTTGAACTGCTAGTGAGAGTTGTCTTTTGGTTAGCTTTAGGATCTGATATATTGGAAATACTGAAACTGAAAGATGACTTAGCACTACTCATTTCTGCATCATATTTTTGGTTATTTGGCAAAACACTTATACTGTTTCCTAAATTGAATTGGGAGGAGCTTGGTTTGAACGAGGGTAAAGATTCAGTGACATTCACATTATTTGTCTTTGGCAGGGTGCCATTTGTTGATGGGGAGAAGGAAAAAGTAGGGGTGGAGATATTACAAGTGATATCAGGTTTTTCAGAGACCTGAACAAAACTTGGAAATTTAGTGATTTGAGGAGCAGGAATAAAAGCAGAAGGCGTAGCTGGAAGAATACTCGATTGATCAACACTTTGTGAAAAGTTGCTGGCGACACTTTTTGGAAATATACTTGTGTTTCTGAAAGTGAAAGTTTTTTGGGATTCTGTGTGTGCAGGAGTGTTTGGAGGAACACTTGTAGGCTTTATTTCTTGTTTAATCTCTCTAATTGGAGTTGACTGGGTAAATTCCAAATTTCTTGCAACATTTGCTTTCACAGGGGACATCTGAGCACCAAGTATCGAATAAATATATTTGTTTTTACTTGTAGGTGAAACAGACAAAGTGGAATTCAGCTGAGGTTTTACAACAGTTACATGGGTGACATCATGAATTTTTAGAAATTTGCGAAGTTTGTTTTTCTTTGTGAAAGTGAATTGTTCTCCTCTGTTATTGAAACTTG